CCCATGCTACCAGAAGTGTGCTTATCCAGCCACACCCACCTTTTGCTTCTTCTGTTTACCCAGGGCTTTTTTTGTAGCAGGAACTCCTTTGCATGTTAGGCCACACACCCCTAATGTAGCCAATCCTAATGAGTTTCTGCTGTTGGGTGTGGCCTATTATGCTAATGAGTTCCTGCTGGGTGTGGCCAACTTGGAAGCAAGCTGGAACTCCGTTCCTGTGCGTTCCTGCCCAAAAATAGCCCTGGTAATGGGGAATACCATAGTATGAATTATCTTGGCCACTAGCAACACATCCTTACACTTAAGAACCTTTCCAGCTGCTTCATTGTTGCCCTTCCAGTTCTCGATCTCCCTTTTGACGATGGAGTTAAGGAATAGAAAATCTTAAACAAGTTCAATCTCTTCACCATCAACCTTAAAGTTGTGTAATTCCCCAGTAGTCATTACTTTGGCCTCCTTGATATTCAAGTGTTTTCCTGCTTTGGCATTTTCTGCTCTAACCTTCATCCGTAGTAATTTCAAGTCTTCGTGGTTTTCTGCCATTAATGAAGTCTCATCTGCATATCTCAGACGGTTAGGGTTCCTTCCCTTCCAATTTGCACTCCACCTTCATCTAAATCTAATTCAGCTTTCATTATGATATGTTCTGCATATAGACTGGATAGGGAGATAAAATACCTCGTCTGACACTTGTGCCAGCTGCAAACCAATCCTTTTCTCCATATTTTTACCTAACGGTAAAGGTAAAGGTTCCCTTGCTCGAAAGCCAGTCGAATCTGACCCTAGGGTTGCGGGGCTCATCTCCGTTTCAAAGCCAAAGAGCCAGCGCTGTCCGAAGACGTTTCTGTGGTCATGTGGCCGCGGCATGACTAAACACCAAGGCGTAGGGAACGCTGTTAACCTTCCCACCAAAGTGGTACCTATTTATCTACTTGCAATTTCTTGCTTTCGAACTGCTAGGTTGGCAGGAGCTGGAACTAGAGACGGGAGCTCACTCCGTCATGCGGCACCCGGGTCTCGAACTGCTGAACTACTGACCTTCCACAGCCTGCAGTTCAGCGTCTTAACCACTTGAGCCACCGCAGCCACCTAATGGTAGCCTAGCCTAAAGAGGATTTGTGAAGTTGTCTTCTGCCTTAGTCTCCTGAAGATATACGTGATTGCCTTTATATCCCTCACTCATCCAGATCAAGGCCTGCTTAACTTCGGCAGGATATCTGTTTCAAATGCTTTCAGGCCAGAGCCTTGGGGCTGATTCAGTATCATCAGTGCAAGTAGCTGTTGCCAGAAAAATGCCCCAAATGGCACTGGCTCAAGTTATTTGAAATCTCTGGTAGAGCTCAGCTTGCATTCTAGTATGTACTGAGAGGTCATTTACATAACCAAGAGGAAGAGAGTAAATACACTTGAAAAAACAGTTCCTGCCAGTGAGGAATTCTAAAGTATCTCAACCACATATCTGTTCCTGGCTTGACCCTTCAGGGTTGCAAACGCCACTCAGTTGCACAACAGCAGCTTGCTCTTCCCAAATGAAAACAGGTTGACAATGAGAACACAAAGGACAGCAGGGCACATTTTAAAGGAGGGATGCCAGCTAAACGGAAAGCTTGGGACCTACATACAGGTCAGCCGTCTCTGGTATTGACACCATTTCCTCTGACACTTGTGCTAATTCTGCAGTGGTCCGTGTACAGCAATTGTCTGTTGTTGCTGATTATGTGGCCTTCCTCACAGGATGCCTGTGGTTTCCTGTAGGTGGCAGTTCATCTCCTTTGATTGATATGTAGAGAGAAGGCCGTGTAGAAGCACTGTGGAATAGTCCACTTCTTTCTCTGTGTGGGGACCTGAAGAAGTTGGCTAGAAGAAGGTAGAACCTCCATCTTTTTCTTAGCTCTCTACCCATTTTTGTCCAAAGTATTCTTCAGTGCAGCCTGGCAATAGCATTTTCTGCTCTATATGGTGGGGCTTTTGAGGGCTCCGCCCCCTTTCTTAAAGGCAGAGCCCCACAAGAATTTCTCCTGTAAATGCTTTTTAAAATAATTTAAAACATTTTTTAAAGCCATGCACACCTTTAAGCAGAGTGGGGTGCTGTAGCTGACTAATTCCCGCACTAAGCAAGGGGGTTGGAGTAGGTGACCTCCAGGATCCCTTCTAACTCTGTGTCAAGAAACTGGTCTCCTTTAAGAGAGTTTTTTCTGCCTAAGTGCTAGCTTTCTTGACTAAAGAAGTCTGCTGGCTTGTTATCAGAATTGTTGCTTAGGCTGGCAGAAGTGATTAATTTGCAGCAGCTGAGAACTGTCATCTGCAGTGGTTGACAGCTTGCAATTTAGAGATCTATCCTGGTAACAGCTTTCTGTTGGCTAAATGGCTTTTCTTTCTGCACTGAGAACTTCAGCCCTACCAGAAAAAAATATTGCCCCACAAGCCACACAATCATGGCTATGGGCGTGAATATGCATAGTTGTAGTTTCCCCATTCTGTTCTCACAACAAATGTGTGAAATACATAGACCAATCACTCTCAGCACCAAAGGATACCCAGTGAGCTTCATGCCAGAGAAGCGATGTAAATCCGGAGCGCCCAGATCCAGAAGGTTAGCTTATGCTTGGACAGCCTCCCTGGTGTTTGTAACAAAGATGAGAGGTGGGAGAGAGAGTCGCCTCTTTCTCATGAACAGAAATCCCCAGGGCTAAAGGGAAGAATTACCGATTTCTCTCCAGCATGTCATGTTATACACGTTGGATGTTTCAGATTGAAAACTGTAAAAGTCACTGGTTCTGTGAGTCAGGCAAGAGGCCCTAATGCTGGGACTGCAGGCAGGACCTCGCAAGGCAATTCCAGAACATGAGCCACCTCTTCTGTTAACAAAATATTTTTGGTTGTTAGCACATCTGGTGCTTCAGTAGCAAAGGAAAAAGCCTTCCCAGTGCAAACCAAGCCACATAGTCTTGCCTGCAAGGGAAAGTTTGCTCCCAACTACATGAAATAATAGGATTTGGCAGGACCTTTAAATTGATTATGTAGCTGCACGGTGAGAGGTTGAGCTGTGTCCATTATAACAAGGCATAACATTTTTTCTGTAGCGTTAATCTAGGCACTATCTAGATTGTCTTTGAATGCCACTTGGGAGGCTGTGTAAAAGAGAACTAGTTTACAGCAGAACATACATGTATCTTTTTTTTTTTTTTGCATTTTGTGTGTGTGCGCGTGTGCCTGGAAGCCAATCGGACCTCTGGCAACTCCTACCGGGGCATGGAGGATGTTCAGAGAAATGGCTTGATAGCCTGCCTCTGCCTCCTGGCCCTGGTATTCTTTGGAGGCCCCCCATCCAAGTACTTGCCAGGGTCAGCCCTTAGCTTAGCTTCCAAGATATGACAAGATCGGGCTTGCCTGGGCTACCCAGGTCACGGCCAGAAAACACATTTCTGATCATTGCTCAGGTCTGCTTCAAGACTTTCAAGTTATTTTAAATCGGTGTGCCCTAACAAAGGCAGCTCTTACTCAGGGCCATTTTAGGATGGAAGTAAATCTTTTTAATGACTGAAAAATTGGTTCTCTTGCCTTGCAATCAGGAAAGTATGCAGGCCCTTCTGCAGGTGTAAAGGATGGTGTCACTACCAATTACTGGGGTTGTTTCCATGACATCTTTCGCAAAGGATGACGAGCAACAGTGACCTAGCCTAGTCAGGATCACCTTTTGGCTGGTGAAAGGACGGCGGGGTAGGGAGATCTCCCAGCACCTCAAGCCCCTACTATTACTTGTCCAGACTTCTTTTGCTCTTGCTGCTGAAAACTAGGACAGAGAAGGCACCACTCGTTACTACTACTACTGGGCTTCAGTTCAGCACCAAATTTCTGCCACTGTGCCGGTACCACAGCGCAGGTAGTTGGCAGTTCTTTGTTCCTCTTTGGTGTAGTGGTTAAGAGTGGCAGACTCCAATCTGGAGAACCGGGTTTGATTCCCCACAGCTCCACATGCAGCCGGCTGAGTGACTGTGGGTCAGTCACAGCTATCTCAGAGCTGTTCTCTCAAGAGCAGTTCTCTCAGACCGACCTACGTCACAAGGTATCTGCTGTGGGGAAAGGAAGGAGATTGTAAGCCGCTTCGAGACACTTGAGGCCTGCTGGGTAACCTTGAGCCAGTCACAGTTCTCTCAAGAGCAGTTCTCTCAGAGCTCTCTCAGCCCCACCTACCTCATAGGGGGGGTCTGCTGTGGGGAGAGGAAGGGAAGGGGATTATAAGCTGCTCTGAGACTCTGAGTGAAGGGTGGGGTATAAATCCAACTCTTATTTCCTTGTCAGTTAAAACTGTAACTTCTTATAAATAAAATACTCAGTCTGACTATCAGATTATTGATCCCAAAATGTTATAGCAGTGAATTCGAGGGTAATGTTTGGAGCAAAGGATACACGCAAAGTCTGTTTTACTTGTAACCGTTAACATTAACTCCAGTCACGAAATATAGAGTGCTGATGGAGGTATCCACACCTTGCTTCTGTCTGTGTGTGTCAAAAGCAGTAAGGAGAAGACTTTCAGCCACCCACACCTGCCAGGTCATGATCCCGTGCTGGCACCCCTTTTGCACCCTTACTTCATGTTCACCTTCCTGCCTCCTGGCAAGCCACCTCTTTTACACTTAGCAGACGTGAAATCCGCACCAAGCCCTTGTTTACTGAGCAGCTGCCGGAATGAACATGCAAAGACTCCCACTTAATTCAGTTGCACATTTTTTGGTTTCATATTTACCCTGACAAACCAGTTTTGAAGCCAAGAACAACCACCCCTGTCTTTAGGGAGCTAAATTTCACCCTGGAATTTTAATAGGGACAAAAGGCATATATATAAATGCTGTTTTTAAATAAATGCTGTTTTTAAATATATATTTTAAATATATATATATTTAAAAACAGCATTTTTTCTTTTCAGGCAATATAATACCCCCAACCTTCTTCCCACCCCTGCCCAAAACATTAAAAAAAACCCAAGCACTGAAGGAATAAAGGAATGATTTATTTCAGGGTCTTTATACAGTTTGAAGCAGAAGGGGACGGGGAGGCATTAATTCCCTTTCAATCCAAGTTCCCCTCAGAATGTTTCATCAGCCCCCTAGGCAGGAAGCCCATTGCTCGTCATCACGCCATGTTACCTCAGAGAAGCTTCCTCCTCCATTAACCAGAACAAGAAAACCAGAACATCCTACATTCCAGTTGTTCTGCTTTAAAGAACTTCCTCCTTCAAGAACCCAGAGATCCCGCCAGTTTCACTCATCCAAATTGGTACCCAAAAACGGGGCACACGGAAATGGAAGGACATCATCAAAAAGTTAGTCCATCGGAGTTGGGGGGGGGGATTGCAGCTCCGGTGGTTTCCTTCTCACTGCAGACTTCAGTCTAGCCACCTGCTCCTTGAGCGCTCACGGACCTGAAACACCTCCTCCACCCTCACACGGTTGGGTTGTTATGGGGCAACTGGGCTGTCCCCTCAGGACGCCACAGATGTGACCGTCCATCATCTTCCCAGCCTTTCCCTCCCTTAAAGTCACGTTTGTGGATCCTGTGCCTTTCGGACTCCACACAGCCCAAGGCTGGGATTTTTTAAAAAATCTGCACAACATGGTTTTAAAAATACAAATCAAGGAGGGGGAAAATTAAAGGGGGCAGCCATGTTAGGATCATAGCAGCAAGATGGCAAAAAGTGCTGTGCTGTTGTCGAGGCCGGTTGGTTTCTTGGAGCCTGCATACGCAACAGTCCATATCAGACGATGCAAAGTCGGGGGGGCGGGGGAGAGGCGAACAACCACAAGCTGGGCTGTTTCCAGTGAGAGGAAGCAGACAAAAGTTGAAAGCCTTCCTTTTCATCTGCACAGCGTCTCAAACAATACAGTAAGCTGAAGAGGGGAGGGGGAGAATTCGTGCCTCTTCAACACTGGGCACACTTCTCGGCCTGGTTTAAAATCTTACCTATGCAGCTTTATCAGATGCTACCTGCAGTGATAGCGAAGATCAGCTGTGCATTACAAGTGTTCCGAATTGGCACTGATCAGCAGACCAAAACAAAAACGAAAACCCCCCCGGCACAGGCATGCCCTCCCTCTGAGCAGGGAGGAACCAGGACTCCTGGGTTCAGGAGGAGTGTTACAAGAAGGTTGGGTGCCAAAACTCCTGGATTCTGTTCCCAGTTTTGGAAAAGAACTGGGGTTCAGTGGATTACAGAACAGAGCATCCAGGAGCCACAATTTCATGTTCAACTCCCTTTGCTAATAATGCCCAAGGGATCGGGAAATGGCCCTGCTAAAAATCAGCGTTAGTTTATTAACTCATTAACAAAGACAATAAAATGCCAAAATAGATGACACTCCCCCCTTCTGTTTCACTGAAAGGGGTGGGGGGGGGGGGGAGAAAACATTTCCTTTCCCTCCTGTAGGGGAGGAGAGAAGCCCCTCCTCTTCCCCAACCTGGGCACCAGGGTCTCACCCCAATACATCACATTAAGGGGTCCAGAGATGGGTTACTGGGGTTCACAGCCACGTAGCAAAGCGCAGTTGTACAGCAAGTCAACAGGGGCACCCCCAAATCAGTACCCCCTGAATCCTGTGCTCCCCTCCATAATCCAGCAGGGGAGCTGGGTACAGTCCCAAATCATCTCCTGGTGAAGTAGAGACCTGCAAGGAAAGAGATCTCGTGAGGGATTGCAGCAAAGCGCTCAGGAGTCGTGCAACTGCAGATCAGGTTCAGGTACAAGGCAGCAACACCTAATCACTTGTTGATGACTTATGAATGACCAGAAATTGGATGTCTGGTCATTTACATGAAAAACAAATCAAAAGCTAATTCCCCCATATGCATGCACCCTCCCCCCATCATTACTGCTTATTTAATACCAGCAAATCATGGAACAGTAAAATGTGTGTCCCCTTTGTCCGTCTATCCATCTACAGCAAAAAGCACAACAAATACCGAATGTAGAATTGCAATCAGCATTTGCACACAACGCTGCTTCTCTGTGGCAACATTCATGTGAACCATTCAGGTCAAACATCTCTCTCAAGCTTTCTTCATGTGCCGTCCCATACTCAGGTGGTGCAGCAAAGGTTTCACATGGGTTGCGGAATTTACAAAACTGGCTCACCATGCAGATTGGCTCCTTCCACTATGTGGAAAGCCTACAGGCCCATCCCCAACCAGTGTGTGTGTGTGGGGGGGGGGGGGCTCAGTGGGAGGCAGAGGCTTTAGTAACTTGAGGGGAAAGTCACTAATTTTGGTCTCATTCTGGATTATTCCAGTCCACTCAGCCTAGAGCAGTGGTGGCAAACCTATGGCGTGCCATCGCCCCAGCCAGGCCCAGACCATCATTAAAGTGTCGAATTCTCTGCCAAATAATTTTAAGTAAATGAAAGCATTTGGGATTGCTTTCCTTACTTTGTTTGGATCATCTTAAGTTAAGTATGAGTTGCTTTTTCCTAAAGTAAAACCTCAGTATCCACGTTAAATTGCCGTGTTGGCACTTTGCGATAAATAAGTGGGTTTTGGGTCGTAGTTTGGGCACTCGGTCTCTAAAAGGTTTGCCATCACTGGCCTAGAGGAAGTTAACTGTATGCCCAACCATATGCAGCCTTGACCCGTGCCCCTCCTGGCTAATTAAAGCTGGCCGCGAGGGGTTTCCAGGTGCTCTCAGGGATATTACCAACAAGTCCCTCTCTGAGGGGCTGTTCCCGGGGACGAGTCCCTCTCTGAGGGACTGTTCCCGGGGACGAAGTGATGGTCCGTCCTCTCCTTAAAAAACCATGTCTGGATCCTGCCGAATTGGCCTTATCAGCCTGTTTCCAATTTGCCTTATCTGGGCAAATTAATTGAGAGGGCGGTGGCGATACAGTTGCAGAGCTTTATCGATGACGCTTCCATGCTAGATCCTTTCCAGTCTGGCTTCCGCCCAGGCCATGGGATGGAGACAGCACTGGTTGCCCTCACAGATGACCTCCGGAGGCACCTGGATTGGGGCAGGGCGGCAGTGCTACTGTTAGACCTGTCGGCGGCGTTTGACATGGTCAACCACCAGCTACTTGCCCACCGTCTCGCTGACATGGAAATTCAGGGGCTTGCCATGCAATGGATTGTCTCCTTTCTCCAAGGTCGGGGACAAAGGGTGGCTATTGGGGAGCAGCAGTCCCAAAGGCACTCACTAGTATGTGGAGTGCCTCAAAGGGCCGTGCTCTCCCCGATGCTATTTAACATCTATATGCGCCCCCTTGCCCAGATTGCCAGGGGGCATGGGCTGGGTTGTCACCAATATGCGGATGACACCCAGTTCTATTTGATGTTGGGTGGTCAGTCTGACTCTACCCCGGAAGACCTGGACCAGGCGTTACAAGACATGGCTGGATGGCTTAGACCAGTGGTGGTGAACCTATGGCACGGGTGCCAGAGGTGGCACTCAGAGCCCTCTCTGTGGGCACGCATGCCATCGCCCCAGCCAGGCCCAGACCATCATTAAAGTGTCGAATTCTCTGCCAAATAATTTTAAGTAAATGAAAGCATTTGGGATTGCTTTCCTTACTTTGTTTGGATCATCTTAAGTTAATGTATGAGTTGTTTTTTCTAAAGTAAAACCTCAGTATTCAGGTTAAATTGCTGTGTTGGCACTTTGCGATAAATAAGTGGGTTTTGGGTCGCAGTTTGGGCACTCGGTCTCTAAAAGGTTCGCCATCACTGGCTTAGACTGAGTCGATTGAAATTGAATCCGACGAAGATGGAGGTCCTGTGCCTGAGTCGGAGCGGTACGGGGTAGGGATCCCACTCCCGGCCTTTGATGGGGCACCGTTGGTGCCAGCACCGAGGGTCGGGAGCTTGGGAGTGCTCCTGGATGCTTCCTTAACAATGGAGGCCCAGGTAGCAGCCTTCTACCATCTTCAGCTGATTAGGCAGTTGGTTCCCTTCCTCGAACGCAATGATCTGGCTGCAGTGATCCATGCAATGGTCCCCTCGAGGTTGGACTACTGCAATGCTCTCTACACGGGGCTGCCCTTGGTGCAACTCTGGGAGCTGCAGCTGGTGCAAAATGCGGCGGGCCAGGCTGTTGATGGGTCTCCCCAGGTGGAA